CTACCTGCCTTCTGAGAAATCTGTATGCAAGTCAAGAAGCAACAGTTAGAATCAGACATGGAACAATGAACTGGTTCCAAACTGGAAGAAACATGTCAATGCTATATACTGTCATCTTGCTCATTGAACTAATATGCAGAGTACATCATTCAAAATGCCAGGCTGCATGAATCACAAGCTGGAATCAAGATTTCCAGGAGAAATATCAATAATCTCAAATATTCAGATGACACCACCCTTATGACAGCAAGTGAAGAGGAACTAAGAAGAGCCTCTTGATGAAGGTGAAAGAGGAGAGTGGTTTTGACATTAAAACTTAATATTAACTTAAAACTCAACATTCAAAAGATGAAAATCATGGCATCTGGTCCCACCACTTCATGGCAAATAGATGGGGAAACAATGGAAGCAGTGACAGGCTTTATTTTCTTGGGCTCCAAAATCACTGCAGATGGTGACTGCAGACAGGAAATTAAAAGACGCTTGCTCCATGGAAGAAAAGCTATGACCATTCTAAACAGCATATTAAAAAGCAAAGACATTACTTTGCCAGCAAAGGTCCACCTAGTCAAGGCTATGGTTTTTCTAGGAGTCATGTATGGATGTGAGAGTTGGACTATAAAGAAAGCTGAGTGCTGAAGAATTGATGCTTTTGAACTGTGATATGGGGGAAGACTCTTAAGAGTCCCTTGGAGTGCAAGGAGATCCAACCAGTCCATCCTAAAGGAAATCAGTCCTGGGTGTTCATTGGAAGGACTGATGTTGAAGCTGAAACGCCAATACTTTGGCCACCTGATGGCGAAGAACTGACTCATTTGAAAAGACCCTGTTGCTGGGAAAGATTGAAGGCAGGAGGAGAAGGGGACAACAGAGGATGAGATGGTTGGATGGCAACACCAACTCAATGGACATGAGTTTGAGCAAGTTCCAGGAGATGGTGAAGGACGGGGAAGACTGTTGTGCTGCAGTCCATGGGTCACAAAGAACTGGACACAATTGAGGGAATGAACAACACCCTCCTTTATGGTCTAACTCTCACATCCGTAGATGCCTAATGTCAAAACCATAGGTTTGACTATATGGACCTTTGTCAGCAAAGTGAAGTCCTGGTCTCTTCCTAAGACCCCTGACTCACTGTTCCAGTAGAATCTATGACTTCAGTAGATGAGTCTAGTCCAGGCTCTCATTTCTGCCTTACTGAATTGTGTCTGGATATGATATTCATGCATGGGGTGAATGGCTATAATATTGTTCATAGATTGTGTGTGTTCTTCAGGTACTTTGATGTTCATTTGTTCACTTATCCTCTCATCTACTATTTACTGGGTGCTCATTTTACGTTCAGTGTTGTGCAAGTACTAGGGAATCGAGACCGGAAAAGCACAGCTTGGAGACAGACATACAACCCACTATGATGGTCTCACAACAGCTGTAATAAAGGAGAGGGGCCTGAATTTGTGAGTTGGGGTCACAGTCAGGAGCTAGTGCTTGAATTAGATCATAAAGGGTGATCCAGAGGAGGCACTTCAATCAGAAGCAAGAGAATTTGGAAGGAGTATACGGCAAGTTCAAGGAGTCACAGTGAATTCAGGAGTGTTGGGATGGAAGCAGGAGATGAGAGAGGCGGCATAGGAGGTCAGGAAGGGATCATTACGGACTCTGCATATCCTGCTGAAAAGTGAGGGTTAAAATGAATGTGGATGAAATCTGCCATTCCTCCACCGTGTACTGATAGAATTTATATTGGTAGACAGTAGAAACCACATTTTATAATTTCAGAGAGATGTACTAAGTTGTGTGCTAAATCGTTTCAGTCATGTCTGACTCTTCGCGACCCTATGGACTGTAGCCCACCAGACTCCTCTGTCCATGGGATTCTCCAGGCAAGAATACTGGAGTGGGTTGCCATGCCCTCCTCCAGGGGGTCTTCCCGACCCAGGGATCGAACCTGCATCTCTTGTGTCTCCTGCATTGGCAGGTGGGTTCTTTACCACTAGCGTCACCTAAGTTAATATTAGTTGTATAATGGAGTCCTGGTTGTTGAGTGGGGATTATTAATCTCCTCATATGTACTCATTTAGCAAAAACCCAAAGAGAGAACACTATAACCTACACTATCGTGTTTAAAATATTCTTTAATTCTTTCTCTCTTTCTGGTCAGCCTGAAACACTGAAAGGTAGCCAGCTTGAGAGACCAGCCTGAAAGGCTTCCTGATTCTAAACATGTGTGGATTGCCAGGGGTTAGTGCACATTGCACGTACCTCTCTGCTCTGGAAATATACCTCCTGTGATTCATTTGATCTTCTCTCATACATGCAATCTGCTGACTTGCTTCTTTACATTATTTCTGATTACAGTTTTGGAAATAGCTTAGAAAGTAACAGTTACTCAGAGAAAGGACCAAGAGACTTATGTTTCCTAATCAAACCTGATGGGCTTCCCTGGAGGCTCAGTGGTAAAGAATCCACCTGCCAATTCAGGAGATACAGGTTCGATCCCTGGGTTGGGAAGATCCCTTGAAGAAGGAAATGGCAGTCCACTCCAGTATTCTTGCCTGGAAAATCCCATCATCAGAGGAGTCTGGCAGGCTATACAGGCCATGGGGTCACAAGATTCAGACATGATGGAGAGACTAAACAACAACAACAGATCACATCTGATGGCTGCAAAGTCTTGTTGTATTATGTGTTCATTGAAAGAAATATCTGCATTTTCTCACTTTTGCATGTTTTAGTTTGTCTTAAAATTCCCTCAGTGCAAGTCTTTCAACAGGCCAGGGCATCACTCTTTATCTGATTTTCCATCTTCTCTGCAGGTGCCTAAACCCTGCCAAAGGCAGTAGAAGACATCGTGACTCAGGAGACAAAAGAAAACATGAACTTGAGCTTTCTAATGCGTTTCCCCTCATACCCCAGCTGTGGAGCCTGAGAATGGGGAATTTATTCTTTGGAGTAAATGAATGTAAAATGCTGTTTTGCTTTCAATGTGGTTCCTCCTCTTCAAGCTCATTATTTCTTTACACATATCTATTTCTTTACACATATTGGTAATTTCACCTTCGTGTGCAACTCAAATATAAGAAAAAAAAGGTGCTTGGGGTGCTCCAGAGTGTTTGATCCCAAATTGTAATGTGGTCTCTTGCCTCTTCTTGCTCTGGGATGAGATAAAAGGAAACAAGCTGTTTTGTTGTTAAAGATCAAGGTGGTCTGAATGGGTGATTCAGGACATAGCCATGATCACTATGGGGAAAGGAGAGGCTGTGTGATGTTTTCCTATTAGGCACAGTATGTCAGATTTCTGTAACTGTCAGAAAGGTTATTTCATTTCATGCCCAATTGTGATTTCTTTGTTGCTGTTGTTGCTATTGCCAGTTTTAAATTCCTGGCATCATCCTCAGTAAAACTGAATGAGGGCTGTTGTGAGCAGTCCTTTCCAATGGTAAGAGAATAGCTCATATTTCAGATCCTTATTATGTCCCTGTCCTGTTCTTCCCAAGAATTAACTTTACTCGTTATCCTCACAATACTGATGTGAGATAGAAGGTGTTATTCCCATTTTACAGATGAGAAAACTGAGACACAGGGAGTCTAAGTTACTTACCCAGGTTACATTGCTTGTACATGTCAATGGAGGTGGAATTTAAACCCAAATAACCTTGCCAGGAATAGAGTGAGGTAAGAGAGGTGCCCAGGGCACAAAATTCAAAGAAGCAGTCCTTCTCAGTTTTCTGCGTGTGCAGGATTCAAACTTGAGAGTGAGTGCCTCCTTAGATTATGTGTCCAAGGCACTTTGTTGCTTGCCACACTTCAGCCTCACCCTTGTAAATAACCTTGGTTATTTACAAGGAGCCTGGGTAGCCTGTTAACCTTCATACCTCCTGTCTCTCTGCTCCTGACCCTTATGGATCAGAGTCAGACTTCAAAGAAGAAGTAGATAGAGCCTGAAAAGGGGTCTGTAGGTGCACAAGCGACTAGCAAGATAAAGCCCAAAGTAGGCATCTTTCTTTAGATATCTCCCTTCCTCTTGACTGGGCATTATTTTCTTGAACTGTGCTCCCTGCCATTCTTCTCTGTTAAGGCTTTGTCTCACCCCAACCTTCTCCAGTGCAGAAAGGAATAAAGATACTCTTCACTTGAGAGGTAAATCTCTGATCCCATAGAGAAAGCATTAGAACAGCATCATAGCATATGTATCCTCAGTCAGACTCGCCTGCCCCCAAATACCTTATATCATCTTGTCAAGTCCAGACACACTCCGAGGTGTGTGTTGGGGTCAAAGATAATCCAAGAATACATACCTAGAAGGCATCTCAAGATCTTAGAACAGGATCCAGTGAAGAGAAATTAAATTGTCTTTGAGAAAAGGGAAGGGTGCACAGGGTAAGAGTGAGAACTCACCTCCTCCCTAAACCCTGTACTCTTGAAAATCCTTCAGTACATGGCGTAGGTTTCGAAAGGTACCAGATTTTTCAGTTAGGTGACAATTGGTGACGTAATCAGTGTATCATTAGAACAAAGAGCGCCTTCTGTTCAGTCCTATAGAACCACGACTTAGGGAAACCACTGGGACTAGAGGCTGAGAATGGGGAAACCATCTCTGGTTCTCTTCAGTGATGGACCGACCTACCCCATGACTCAACAGGCCATAGAAGAAGCACCTGTGAGTTATTATGAACACATGTGGAGGGCCAGAAGTAGCTGGGGCCTGAACTGCAATAAAGGAAGGTGCATGTTATAATCCGGTAGCTTTTGAAAGCTTCTCAGCATCACACTAGAAAGTTCCTGGTATGTCTTCTACACGAATTTTTACCCGTGAATTCCCAGCAGACGTGTTGATGATGACTTCTCCTCTCTTACAGACTTCATGACAAAGCCAAATGGGAAGGACCTCACCAAATGACATCATGCCAACAGAGCCAAACTGGAAGACTTCACCATGTGAACAAGGCCAGAAGCACTAAGCCAGAAAAAGAACTGAACTGTGAACAAGTGTCACTTGCCTCTTTGATCAGATTCATGAATCTGGGCCCAAGGCGCCAGGGCTTGTGTCGGTGGCACTGCAGGGAGCTGACGGTCAGCTGGGAAGCCCGGTGGGAGGCAATGGCCACTATGTACACAGCGTCATACATCAGAGCAGCTTCGGTCTGTGGAGGAAAGCACAAGCCACATCTTCAGCTCCACCTTTGTTCCCTTCCCTTTACCTGCGGCATGACTCTGCCCACTTCCTCATCTCCTATTTGTCTGATCTCAACAACCATTTATTCTCCAGCTGAACATCTTTCCTTCTCCCATAGCTATTTTTCTCTAAAATAATACCTTTGTACCCCAGAGTAAATTGTAGTCATGGCTCTGCTTCATTTCAAGTTCTTAAAAAAAAAAAAAGGAAGAAGAAAAGAAAAAAGCAACTGGGATCAGCCACAAAAGACTTGATTCAGAGAACCGGTATGGTTGGAGTGTCCTTTGTTAAAACCCAGTGTTAAGATCAACTATCAATGCATTGAGTTAGAAGCTCAATATTTCTTTTCTTTTTTTTTTTTTGAAAAGTACTAACTGCTTTATTATTATTTTTTCCATTTATTTTTATTAGTTGGAGGCTAATTACTTTACAACATTGCAGTGGTTTTTGTCATACATTGAAATGAATTAGCTATGGATTTACATGTATTCCCCATCCCGGTCCCCCCTCCCACCTCCCTCTCCACCCGATCCCTCTGGGTCTTCCCAGTGCACCAGGCCCGAGCACTTGTCTCATGCATCCAACCTGGGTGATCTGTTTCACCCTAGATAATATACATGTTTCAATGCTGTTCTCTTGAAACATCCCACCCTCGCCTTCTCCCACAGAGTCTAAAAATCTGTTCTATACATCTGAGTCTCTTTTTCTGTTTTGCATATAGAGTTATCATTACCATCTTTCTAAATTCCATATATATGTGTTAGTATACTGTAATGGTCTTTATCTTTCTGGCTTACTTCGCTCTGTATAATGGGCTCCAGTTTCATCCATCTCTTAGAACTGATTCAAATGAATTCTTTTTAATGGCTGAGTAATATTCCATGGTGTATATGTACCACAGCTTCCTCATCCATTCGTCTGCTGATGGGCATCTAGGTTGCTTCCATGTCCTGGCTATTATAAACAGTGCTGCGATGAACATTGGGGTGCACGTGTCTCTTTCAGATCTGGTTTCCTCGGTGTGTATGCCCAGGAGTGGGATTGCTGGGTCATATGGCAGTTCTATTTCCAGAAGCTCAATATTTCAATATCAGATTTTGTCTCTCAGTGTTTACCTACCTCTTGTCTATTTACCTGATTATATTTTGTAGAGAGAGAGTGCTGTGAGCAAAATCAACATGTGATTTCTAGATAAAGATACTGATATTGGGCACTTCCGTTGACCAGAGTCAAGAAGACTGTAGTCATAGAATGAAATTCAATAGCAGATTGGAAGAGACCCTCAGAAGAAGAGACCTCTGCAGTTTGCTCAGAAAACATGTGTTCTTGTTAGCACTTGCTTTCCTGATAGAAACTGGAACTAGCCATTCCTTTGGGGCCAGGGGGTTGGCTATGTCATTCTTAGACTCATGAGATTTCTCTCATTTGCAAAATTTCACATAATACTCTCAGTATTTTCTGAAGTACTGCCCTGTGCTTTTTTTTAAGGATAAAATCATATAATACCTTTGCATTTTACTTGAGGATTTTCATAGCAACTTCAAATATACTAGTTCATTTGAAATTCTCACCAGCCCCACAAAATAAACAGAACACATGAATCAAGCTGTTATTATTTAGGAAACTCACCTCCAGGCAGTATATTGATTTGTGTAGGGCCATACAGATAACCAGTAATTTGTATAGTTAAACCAAAAATCTAGGTCATAGAATGAAGACTATGATGTAGTTTTCCAAAATAAGATGATTTATTCAGCATATATTTATTCAACATTTATTGAACATGTCTTGATGGAGGTAGAAAGAGAAACTAAGGGGAATTACATCTTGTATTCTATCAGTCTTTGAGTCCAGAGAATATGTCTACTTTGAATATTTATTATTCTGGGCAATCTCTATCATTGCATTTTTCATATAACATATTAATCTTTTTATATCTCTTTCTCGATAAAAGTGCTCAACTTCATCTTTCAGTGGCTAGCACAGTTCTTGACACATGAAAGCTGTTCTAAAAATGTTAGATGAGGGAATTAATGTTATTTCATGCTTAAAATAATTTTTTGTGAAAACTGTATAATTCCAAGGTTTTATGATGTATTTCTAAGATTAATTGCTTCACTCACACTTAATATGAGTGATATGTAGAAGCTGTGATGGTGATAATTGTTAAAGCTTAAAAATATTCTGATCATTTCAGTTCAAGGCTGATATAATCAATTTTACAGATCAGAAAACTGAAATTCAGGGAAGTTAAGTGATTAGTCTAAGGTCTATCTATTGACAGAATGGGCCTTTTTAAAAGGCAGTCTATAGTAATAGCTGACATTTATAGAGCATTTATATGTCAGGGCTTCCCAAGTGGCCCAGCAGTAAAGAATATGCCTGTAATGCAGGGGATTCAGGAGATATGGGCTCGATCCCTGGGTGGGGAAGATCCCCTAGAGGAGGAAATGACAGCCCGCTCCAGTATTCTTGCCGGGAAAATCCCATGGACAGAGGAGCCTGGCAGGCTAGCTACAATCCGTAGGGTCACAAAGAGTTAGACACAACTGAGCATGCACATACATTGGTTTATATGTCAGGTACTCTTCCAAATATTTTGTAGTCATTGTGTCTTCACCATAATTTCTACTCCTTTATGGATGAAGAATTGACATCAGTTACATGTTGTCCCCAAACTAGTGATGAGAAAGCTAAGATTCAAACACAGGATGCTGGTGCTCGGGTTTATAGTCTCAACCACAAAGCTGAGTTGCATCTAAACCAAGTATTTGTATGGTGATTTAATGGTTTAAATAATAGGTCAACATGATCAATATCCATTGGAAATTAACTACATTCTAGACACTATAAGCATTTTACATGTTATCTCCTTTAATTACTGAAATTAAACCTTCCAGGTAGGTATTTCCCCCATTTTGAAAGTGAAGAGTGAAAGTGATAGTCGCTTAATCATGTCCAATTCTTTGTCACCCCATGAACTGTAGTCCACCAAGCTCCTCTGTCCATGGAATTGTCCATGGACGTAAGAAGACTGAAGTGAGCCAAAAGAAAAAAAAAGAAAAGACAGGAATGGGTAGCCATTTCCTTCTCCAGGAGATTTTCCAGACCCAGGGATCAAGCCCACGTCTTCTGCAGTGGCAGGCAGATTCTTTACCACCTGTGCCACCAGGGAAACCCAAATACAGACAGAGAAACTGAGGCTTGAATGTACCAGACATAACTTTAATAATAAGTTGCCTAAAGTTATATAGCCAGTAAGGGAAGGAGCAAGGATTTCATCTTGGGATGAATGCTGAGTTCAGAGCGTATGCTCTCAACTACCATGCTATGGGGACCTGGGACTTTTGGGCCTTGGAATGTAGCTTTTTAAAATATACATTTGTTTGTATATTCACAATTGGCTGATTGATGATTGATTTGATAGAGAAGTGTGAGGAGAGGAATTCCAAAGTCAAACTTTTCTATACACTTAACTTAGTCACTCGGATTTCAACTTTCTTTGTCAAGGTTGTCTCTATACTGAGCTAGGTAATAACAAGATTCAAAACTATAGGCCAGATTGGTGCTTTCCAAATTCAAAGAAGAAAATCATCTATTCTAAAATTATGCTTCCCATTTTATACAATGTTTTCTTAGATTGAGAAGACATTTAAGTACTTTATAGCACAAATAAACTAGCACTGAATTTCCTCCCCTTTTCAGTTTTATGCTAGAGGCCTGCTTACCAAACAGCAACTCTCAAGCCATTTTAAGTAAATATATACAAAAAAATGGCCAGTGTTTCAAATTTTATTCTTCCAAATGTGTTTGTTTTCACATTCTATTTACACATAAAGCTTAGAAGACACCACATGCTCAGTGCCTCTAAAAGAATATTTTTACAGCACATGGATCACAAAACAGGCACATTGAAAGTGGGTTTCTACAATGAGGTACCATTACACACCAGTCAGGATGGCTGCTATCCAAAAGTCTATAAGCAATAAATGCTGGAGAGGGTGTGGAGAAAAGGGAACCCTCTTACACTGTTGGTGGGAATGCAAACTAGTACAGCCACTATGGAGAACAGTGTGGAGATTTCTTAAAAAACTGGAAATAGAACTGCCATATGACCCAGCAATCCCACTTCTGGGCATACACACTGAGGAAATCAGATCTGAAAGAGACACGTGCACCCCAATGTTCATCACAGCACTGTTTATAATAGCCAGGACATGGAAGCAACCTAGATGCCCATCAGCAGATGAATGGATAAGGAAGCTGTGGTACATATACACTATGGAATATTACTCAGCCATTAAAAAGAATTCATTTGAATCAGTTCTAATGAGATGGATGAGACTGGAGCCCATTATACAGAGTGAAGTAAGCCAGAAAGATAAAGACCAATACAGTATACTAACGCATATATGTGGAATTTAAAAAGATGGTAACGATAACCCTATATGTAAAACAGAAAAAGAGGCACAGATGTATAGAACAGATTTTTGGACTCTGTGGAAGAAGGCGAGGGTGGGATGTTCTGAGAGAATAGCATTGAAACAAGTATACTATCAAGGGTGAAACATAACACCAGACCAGGTTGGATGCATGAGACAAGTGCTTAAGGCTGGTGCACTGGGAAGACCCAGAGGAATCCGGTGGAGAGGGAGGTGGGAGGGGGGATCGGGATGGGGAACACATGTAAATCCATGGCCGATTTATGTCAATGCATGGCAAAAACCACTACAGTAAAGAAAAAATAATAATAAATAAAGACCTGTTCTGCCAGTTTTCTCCTAAAAAAAAAAAGTGGGCTTCTTTGCAGTACACAGTATTTTGGTGATTATAATGATGCGCAATAAAGGATTGACTCAGAGGACTTACCGTGCTCAAACCCCTCAAATTCCAAAGAAAGGACTCATCTTTGACTGACTTCTGGGAGATTGCCTCTTAAGAATATTCTGCCTAATCAGAGTGTCTTTG